AGTTGCTGAAAGTTGCCGCTGATTTGACAGTCTGAGAGCAAATTTTCCATAACTGATTGTCCGACTGAGACGTATTCAGAGCTTTCGGAATTGCATCCATTCTCAGGAAGTTACCTAGAAATTGATTCAATCCATTTTGATTTCATTGCGAATCGATTGCATCAATACGATCACCGATTTCAGGTTTTTATTTTGATGATAATGAAATCGTACCAAATGTCTCGCGTGGTGACTATCGTTTCGATTCGAACGGTGCAAAGGTAACACAGAAGAGTAACGTTTTCTTTACACTTCGCAGTCTGACAAAAAAAACTGAAAGTCGCTTCGAAGTGATCGCTCAAATTAATTGATCTCTCTCATTTGAATTTCAGGCAAATAAGATGGTTTTGTCATGAAATTTCCGTAGCGTCGATTACCTTTGCATGTCAATTTGTTGTTAGAGATATTCTTTCTTATATTCTCCAAATTATTTCCGCATTACAGATCGATAAATTTGATCGGGACACTGAAGCAAGGGCAGTTCTTGAGCATCAGTGCTTGACGAAGCGACTGCACGCTGGAAATATTGGCTATGATATTACCCATCGAAGTACTTCATTCTTTTGTTTTTTTGCATTTTGTTTTGCCAATTGCATCCCACCACCAGAGGGTGAACTCCCTCGCTGTCAAGTTTATGAAACCTAAACTATTTTAGCGTCAACTGCAAGTTTGACACGGATTTGCTCGCTAAACTTTGTCTTATTCAGATATCCACTGGGTTGCGATGGAATGTACTTTAAGGGACGATTGTAACATCATTAACATCGAGCTGAACTTTTTTCATGCATAATTCTGTGTTACTGTTAAACTTGCCATCTGATGTTATCCAGTTCGAATATTTTAACCTCCACCGTTCCAGATTGTATATACTTGACCGGTGGTGCGTCGTCGAATCGTCATATAGCGCAGATACTCGCCGATGTTTTCAATTGCGATGTATTCATACGTGAAGGTGCTGCCGATTCAGCGGCACTCGGCGGTGCCTTGCGTGCTCGACACTGTAAGTAAACCATCTGATCTGTATATCCACCACATTCATTTCTTGTTTGTTTGAATACAGGTGAAACTATCCTCTTGTCATTACCAATATTTTGAAATTGGAAAATTTTTTGCCTCATTGTACTGCAACATGATGAACTTATATGATTGACAATTCATGAGGCCGATTCGTTTTCATTAGCCTCTAATTTACGTAAGTGAGGAATGCCTTCAGGTAGTGAGCTACATCGAGGGGAGGATTTCTTTGCGATTTCAAAGAAAGCAACTTCTTCGTCAAAACGAATCGCTCAACCAAATGCTGATAATGTCAAGGTGTTTTTCATGCTACTTTCGTTTTGAGCTTTTTGCAGTGTGATTTGCTGAAGTACAATAAAAAAGATTACGATAGAAAGAAAATGAACGATACAGTGCTACTGACCACAAATAAAAATCCGATTGAAGTTCTGATTGCTTAATGCATGCTGCTTTCGAGTTCCTGAAAAGGATATTCTTTAAATTCTTCAACATTTCAGATATACGATCAAATGCTACCTATTTACGCTAGACTCGAGTGGGAAATCACGAGTGCATCGTGTATATCCTAGTTAAGCGCCGCCGGTTGTTGAAAGAATTCTCAAACGTCGATCATCAACTAATTGTCACATTGCATTCAATTTTCTGCCTCAAGCGAATCTCAAAACGACCATTCTTCAAATGTTGGATATTAATGGAATTGATCGTTGTTGTTGTTACTATTTGAGATGAAATTCATCATTCTCATAGTTGACTATATCCAAATCAATCAAGCGTTATGCGCACACAACAATTCATTCGAATCGAATACAAAAGGGCTTCTAATGTAAACTCACTGCATGGAATATAATTTCAGAATATTTTAAAATAAATATTTCCAAGCAAGTTTTGAGAGGATACTGAGAACAGTCAAAGTAAACAAACCGAAACGTGTGGTCCAACAATGAGCTCGTCGCACTTTACAAGCTTCACATTCAAATTCCACTACGATAGATTCGTTCCAAACAATATTTGCTTTCGATTCGAACGTAACAACAGTTCAACTGNGTATTATTAAAGCAATATCAGCAATAGCAATCTTTAAACAAATCAAATCTCCTCAAAAACTCGGATTCATCCCAACGTTACGTCATCCACTATTAATGTTTTATCTTGTCGCGACATTCGCTTCAGACAATGACGAAACGTTTCGTTGGAAAACACTTGCATTGAATAATTTCATTCTATAATTAATGCGATAGGTCTGTGCAAAGATTACTGCGCTCTCACAATTATGTATACGATTATTATTAGCAATGCTATTATTTCTATACAATACTATTAGCATTACAATTGCCACTAGTATTCAGTAGGGATGAATGTTCACAGTCTGATGATTATATGAAACGTTTTCGTGATCTTGTTCACTATGTTCACTCTGTTCATCATAAATCAATGCTATTACAAGTAAGAACTTGCCTTTTCATCGCAAGCGAACCAAATTGTGGTCAAGCAAATTACGATGCAAAACGTTAAACTATCAGTTGCAAATTGGATATCGAATACAGTCGATTGCAGTACAGTCGACTATCAATACAGTCGACTATTGAATCGAATACAGTCGATTGCAATTTGACTGTTGATTCCTCTTCTTTGCACAGCAACATCGCTTCAAGGTATGACTAAGATTATGCACTCATCAGTTTGAATGTTGCCGGTAATGTGAATGTCTGAATCCCTACTAAAATCTGTCGGATTTTCCTCACCGAACGTCAATCGCATGTCATCAATACTGAACGGTCCAAACAGCCACTGTTCTTTAGTATTGGATATTATGATTGTTCGTTTCCGGAGGATATTGGACTGTTATTATTGATCTCTTAGATTATACTACTGTGAAAAATGATTGCGTCCTATCTACACTTATCAAATGTCTGTCTTCTGGTAGCACTGGGTGTGGATATGAAATCCGTTGTTACAGCGAATACGACAGATGTGTAGCGCGTTTCGGAGGTGAGTTTAGCTGAAGAGAAATGAAAGTTGCACTGAAATTACGTTCTATTCGATGGAAAATTTTTGATTTCGACAACACCACGAAGATCTGTATCACGTTGAATTGATAACCTTCGCATCACACCAATAACAGCAAGTTCGAGTCTAATGCCAAGCAAAAGCACCCAAAATCAGATGCTGTAGCTTGAGTCTAGCTGCAAGCCTAAACCTCAGCTTAATGCTCGTCGAAATGCCTTCGAGAGTATAAGTTCAACACACCATTTGAGCAGCAAATCGCTAATCTCTTCAGTTATCAACAATTCACTGCAATAGGAATATCAAGAGTACTATTTTTAAGCTGCATATGTACTCAAATTTGTCCAATAAGGCAGCAATTTTTTGGCATCATCGGATTCTCCAGATTCTCTGCTATCAGAAAAGCATATATGTTGTGGGAGGATTTTATTTTTATCAGAAAAAAATGGCTGAATTTCTAAACACATCTTTACAGTTAAACCGTTCTGTTCAGCACATTGTATCTGCTTTGATCATTATACACAATAGGTTTGTAATAAGCGACCGCCATGTTCAAATCAACGTTTTGCTTAGATTTGCCTGAAGTATGATGGTTTTTTGGCTTCATCGAATGCTCCAGATTCCCTTGTTTTGGAAAACTATATATGATGTTGGGTGATTTTGCTTATAGTTATTGTTCAAGTAAAGTAAAATGTAAATAGTTATTGTAAAGTAAAGTAAAGTAAAAATAGTTATTGTTCAATAGCTCAAGTAAAATAAATGATACTGAAGGAATGTCAAGATTAAACTGACTGTATGCTCAGATTTGTTCAGTCGCTAAGGTTTTTAGTTAGATTTGGATAGAGCAGATTCTCTGCAATCAGAAAAATATGTATGTTGCTACAATTCTCTGCTATCAGATAAAATATGTTTGCTGCTTCACAAAAGATTGGCTATATTTTGAATGTCATGCAACCACCGTAATATTATTATCATGATTATTAACTCAACAATTGTAAATATTCGTCAAAATGATCACTGAATGAAACCATTTATTCTGAATGTATTCAGTGAAAGGTCTGGTTGCACATTGTGTTATCTGAGGCGATTAGTGGTCGCTTGTGCTCCTTTCACCGCAAACTAACCAGAATATTTAATTTTATTCAACAATTATTTCACCGAATATGTGCAAAAATTACTGTATTCTCACTTTGATTTATCATTACTATTCGAATATTATAAAGTAACTATCATACTAATGATTTTACAGTTTTGAACGAAAATATGGAATAAAGTATTTCCAAAACTGAACATTTCATTAAGTTCAGGACTAAGATCAAGACCAAAAGCTGAGTTGAAGGATGTAGCTTGATGCTAGCCAAAAGCCAGAGCCTGAGCCTGAGCTTACTCTTCATCGAACTTCCCTCAAAAGCGTATGAACCGCAAAACTCTACTAATTTGTTTCGTTTGTTTATCAATAATTCATTGCGATCGGAATATCCAGAATGCCATCTTCACGCTGCATGTACACTCGAATCTGTTTGACAACACGATAGTTTTTTGCTGTCATCGGATAGAGGAGATTCTGTGCTATCAGAAAATTATACTCGTTGTCGGAGATTTCACTCGGATCCAGAAGAATATCCGAATTTCTAAACATACCCCGTGCAGTTGTGCCGTTCATTTCAGTACATTGTATCTACATTGATCAATGCATACAGTAGGTTAGTAATGTAGAGTCACTATGTTCGAACTAAATCTCTGCTCACAAACGCATTTGCCCCGATGGCTCTCTTGTTTCATCGGATTCTCCGGATTACTTACGTTAGTTTCCAAAAACTGTGTATGTTGTCGGGCGATTTTGCCTACGATTAATTCAAGTGAAATGAATCACTAGAGAAATATCTGAAGTACCGTTTGCAAGCTGCGCATACAATTAAATTTGTTTGACGTCACATAAACGACTTATCAATGTTGTCATTGTGATATAATATGTGATAATTTGCTTTTTGATCGGAAATCAACTAAATTACGCACAATAAATTGCGATCCAAAACATCAAATCGTCACTTATGAATTGGATATCGACTAGAATGCAGTCGTCGATTGTACTAATTCTACTGTTGATTCCTCTCCTTTGCACAGCGGTAACACTTGAAGGTATGTGACCATCACTAGAATTATGCACTGATCAGTTTGAATGTTGCTCGTAATGTGATTTTAGTCGGAATTCCGACTAAAATCTATTGGATTTATCTCACCGAACCACAGTCGGATGCCATCGTTACTGAACGATCGAGCCAAAATGCTAAAATTTTGTTGCTNTTTTAGATTGTGATACCGTGAGAAAGCATTGCATCATACCTGTTCGTATGAACCGTCGTTATTCTGGTGGCGTTTGGTGGGCGCTTGAAAAGCGTTGTGAAGACGAATACAACAGATGTGTAACAGCGAGTTTGGGAGGTTAGTTCAACTGATTGTGAGGAAAAATGAAAATTGCATCGAAATTACGTTTCAATCGTCAAAATTTTTGATTTCCCTATAACCACGAGGAACTGCATCACGTAGAACTGATAGCTTTCTTATCATACCAATAATACCTCCGCATTTGAGTGCGAATGTACTGGTAGGAAAACGAATCATTGCTCGTTCTGAATCACTGGGTTTACTTCATTGACCACTCGCCATTGAGTTCAGTTTTCACCTTTCACCTTGCCTCTTCATGTTCTGATCTTTCAAGTAGCAACTTTACTCTCTGAACTCTTTTAAAAACACAAAAGAAAAAATTACAAAAAATAACAATAATCCCGGAATGCCGCTTATACACATGTAGTTTTAGGTCCCAAATCCACTTGGCTCATATCTCAACTGAAGGAAGCGACCAAAACAGCGATAAAAAGCAGGATTAATCCACCAACACCTCGAACGATTAACGCGATTAAAGGACCCGATAACACGAATCGATACATTCGCTTGGAAAAGTAATCATGGCAGCAATCATTTCATAATGTTGAAGGATAATACTTATTTATTTATTTAATCAGCAAATCAAACTCATTAGGAGTTTATGCCTCTCTGTTATTACCAATATCACTAATATCACATTCTTCCTTCCTTGGCATTCTTCTTTCCGGGATTATTGTTAGTTGAAGGATAATATNTTCAGTACATTGTATCTGCATTGATCACTGTACACAATAAATCAGTAATAAATGGTCACCATGTTCAAACCAATATTCTGCTCAGATTTCCCCTGAAGCATGATGGTTTTTTTTTTGCTTCGTCGAAGGCTCCAGATTCTCTAGTTTTAGAAAAGTATGAATGCTATTGAGTGATCTCTTACACTTCCCTCAGATACGGCTCAATTAAGCGAGGTATGCCATACAGCTGAGCGATTTCATTCCATGAGTAGGGCTGTCATGAGTACCATTTTTGATAAGGAAGTTAACCTTACAAATTGCATCAAGACTTTTCATTTCACTATGGTTCGTACGAATTTTTCAGCACATTTAAACTGGAAAGGTATTGTTGAAGATGAAGAAGACCAGCGGTTAAGCAAAAATAAATTACTTACGTCAAACATCATCGCATTTATTCAATAATATTTAGATGTTTATTTACTCACTGATTTACCATCAGAACTGTTATTTATTCATCTATTAACAATAAGCAATCATATTTGCATTATACTTTCCCATGTATCGAAAAAAATGAAGGCCATATGATAAAAAATAGAAAAAATTATTAGCGAAAAACGTGAAAATTAAAGGAAAAATCCATTTATCCTTAATTTTAATAAGCAATGGAAATAATGTGGGCAAAACGAATTGCCGCAAGAACACAAAAATAGTCCTCTTTACTGAAGAGAGCTGTGCAAATTCTCTTTGGCATTGAAGAGAACTATGCAAGTTCTCTTCAATGCTTAAGAAAACTATGCAAGTTCTCTGTTGCATTGAATAGAACTAATGATGTCTCTATTCCAGCTAAACTGTTCTATTCTTGTTCTGTTCCATGGAATAGAATAGAACAGTTCGTAAATGGGAAGGGACAGTTTGGAATAGAATAGAGCCGTTGTTGAGCTCAAAAAAAATAGAATAGGACAGTTTTCAACAGATCTTGGCTGTACCTTAAACTGTTTTTTTGAATACTGCATTGAGATAAATTACCATTGTTATTGCTTGGATTGGCCACACTATCAAACGTTTGTAACGTTGCTGGCCACAATGCTCGTGTTTCCGTGCACATTGTTCTAGCCCCAATTTACGCCACGCCGCTGGCTAGGCGAGTAGGCCAACCGAATACAACCGAGTAATTGACTAGTTGCCATGAATATTTTGCATAATCAATCGTAGCCAAATATCAATGCGATAAATAATCATAACTCTAGCAATATAAATATTCCGCCGATCGCTCGTAGCGATTGACAGAACAACCACTCGACGTCCAAGTAGCAATAAACCATTGTTATATTATATTCATTATTATTTATTATTATTTCATTTGGGACTCACAACGTAAGAGGGCAGTAAATATTCAGGAAACGATGAACAATTCGTAATGTGAAAGCAAATTTTAAGAATATGTTTGACCAAAGAAGAATCGCTCATTCATTTATATTGTTTGTCTTCACTTTAACCGCTCGTCACTAGCACAGCAATTCGATCTACCATTGAAGTGATATTTTTAAGATGAAGTTTCTTAAAAAGTTGCAATTCGAGAAGAATAACAACGCATAAGTAGACAGCTTCGATCATGAACTCATCATTTCCCAGACGGGCACGATATTTGTTGTTGAGATGGATTCCTTCCGAAACAGTTGCATCTGACGGCCAAGATAGGCGAGATGAGTCCTTTACCGTACGGTTGATCATCCGATTTCGCTACGACGAATCCCCTGATTCATAGATGTTCTGATTTGTCATTTAACCTTCAATGATGATCCGACGTCGTTCAAAGAATCGATGTCTTTCCATTCAAATACAGATTGTCTACTATTCAGATGCTCACAATTGGGTAAGAAGGCCCAGCATTCTCGAATATTACTGCTATATCATTAAACAATGGATTTGCTTGCAGTTTAAATGAGTAGCAACGATCAACAAAATTTGACAAACCGCAGAACAATTCGCTGTATTGTCGTAGGTGATGAGGATGTTGGTAAATCAACACTCATTCAAAGTTACTGTCATAAAAAGTACGTCGAGCATCTGGAAGAGGTCAATGAAATTCTTGACGTTTCTAGTGATGACTCGATCCATGCCCATAATTTTTTTTCCGATTATCGATTCTAACTCTTAAGAAGAAACGATTCAAAAATGAGCAGCTGTTATCATAATCATCTAGTAATATCTTCCTTCCTCATTCAAAAAAATCTTGTACCTTGATGATGATGATGATGAGGATGTATTAAATAAAATGAAATTGTAGCGAACAGAATTCAAATGCGAAGAAACTGTCGACAATATTCACGTTTTACTACGCGTATGTTGCCAAAGTTCACTCGTTACATCAATTTCTTGATTACTTCATAACAACTGCTCTTATCAACTATTGTTCTCTGACGTTTAATTACGGATTTTGATACTTGTTCAAAAAGATGTTATACGAGTTTATGCCTAACAAAATGAGACCAAATTCACAATCTGAATTTCAGTAGCAATTCAATTAGACCTCATAAAAAATCCTAATTTCTCTTTCAGTTTGGGCAATGAATCTCACCAGAAAAGACAATTTTCCACAATAATTTTCAACGAAAGTNGATCGTGCAGAATTATACGTTGGTGCTGATGTGTGCATCCTTTGTTACGATATGTCAAATGAGGAGAGTTTCGAAAACATTGAAAAGAAAGTGAGTGGTTGATGCGATTCCATCTTGATAGCACTATCGTAAAGCAATTCAGGGAATCGAATCAGCAATTTGAAATAAAAAACATTTCACCAAAAAACATCAATTTCAAAAGTTGAAAAATAATATCCTCACAAAATTTTCAGTGTAATTTTCCCAATCAGTCATCGACTGAAGTTAGTGGTTTAATTGCAGTGGCTGAACGAGCTGAAAAATTACTGTCCAGAGCGACCCTATCTTCTTGTCGCTACAAAATATGACCTTTGCGATGAATTAGACGATGAACAAAAAGTCGTTATGGAATCTGAGGGTAAGTTTACCATTGACTAGTATCCATCCAGTGGGAACTCATAACGCGGTACGATTCGAAATGCCATAATTCATGAAGATCTTCAAAATGTAATTGGCTTTTAAGCAATTAATTCATTCGTGATGGAGAAACAACAGCAACTTACTTCGAGAATTCNTGCGCTCAGTCATTCTCTAAGAAATTTTGAGATATTGTCGAATATTTCAGGAGTTGAGCTGGCACAAAAAATTTCTGCTTGGACGCATATCAGTTGCTCATCAGTAACGATGGTTCGTGATCGCTACACTTCCACTGCTATTATCTGAGATGCTTTCATTAGTCATTTTAGTGCCAGACGTTTAATAATCGATGTTACAATTTCAATGTGAAACTCAATTTCGTTCAGAAAAATGTCACGAAAGTATTCCAAACAGCCGCTAAAATTGCAATCAATGGAACCGCTTCAGCTACATCCAAACCAGCTAATAATTGCGGTTTGCAAACTCTTGACTTATTCTTCTGAAAAGATCACCAGTCAAAAAATTCAATTTCAATGAGCAGAATGAAATTTTCATTCATTGCAATTGATTGACTGAAACGGGACCAATTTATATAGCCAACTACGAAGGTTTACAATATATACAGCCATATAGTCAAATAGTTGATAATTTATGGAGTTTATATAGTCATAGAGTGAAGTGTAAGAACACATGAAGCTTCGNACATGATAGGAACTTTTTTAGCGATATCGTTAGCAACGCCAGTTCAGTATATGGTTTCATTCGTGGGTCAATCACTGCGCATCGCAAAATGTACAGTACCTCTATTGAAGGCGAGCTCAATTTTGATTGAACCAATTGCCTATGATCTTCACTTGAATAATTTGAACCTTTTATAATGAAATCTTCCCGCGATAAGCAAAGTCGATTCCAGTTCCTTCACAGTGAATCTGGTTAATTACTTTTGGAAAAGCTGATTTCAATTTATAGAATGAATGCAGAATTAACTCGTAGATTACTTTCATCATCAGATAATTATTCTTGAAATGATTTTCAGCAAACAGCCGTTAATATTCGTGAATCGTGGAGCAATCCAAATGCATTTATTGAAGCTAAACAAAATGTGCGTTTTTCCATCTCATTCAATGAAGTCACTACGATAATGCCATCAGAATCCTATGGTAGGGAGAGGAGAACGACGAGAAAGTTCCGAAATTCACGAAAGTCGATCATGAAATTGAGAAACTGAGAGATAGATGTCTATCACGTTTTCAGCTGATCTACTACGCACCATTCCTTACACCTTGCGTACCGGTTACGAAGGAGAAACGAAAAAGTGCATATCACCACGAAGAAGTGAATTGCGCTGAAATGAAAACGTTGAATAGAAGGTCAAGAACAGAGCAAACATCAACGAATTCTAGTGATAGTTTAGGTTACTCCAATTCAAACTTTCACCATTCATAAGCAAGAGATCAGTTCATTTGCATTTGCAATCGTAACAGAAGAATGATGCGAAGCCCAACTACGGGCATTTCTCTACCAGATCAATAATACTGTCCACATTTAATATTACTCATATTCAGCGGTTACCAAAATATCCAAGTTTCGTCCCCTTCACGACTAAAAGAAAGTGTTAGTCGCCCTTGCAACAATACTGAAACTCCCTCCTCTCTAATAAACTTTTACAATTTGGCGATAAATCACGCGAGAATCAGAAAATCGATCCTATGATCAAAAATTTTTCTATCAATAATTCTTCAGTAAATATTTTGTGTCACAAATGAGTGTTTGAATAACTTTTATTATGAATAATTATGAATGTTCTCAATACCGACGATTATAATACAATTGATTGAATATGAACTTAATATCGAATACAATATGATTAAGAGCCAATCGCTGGCTAATGACAATTCCAATGTAATTAGCCAAATAGCAATACAATATGAGTCGAAAACAAAACGATAGAGGCCAATCGCTAGCCAATCAACACTTGGATTTTGAATGATTACAGGAGAAACGTAGATTGGGTTCTGATCTCTCTGAGTGACTTCGCTCTCCGAGCCACCTTCTTTTATGTTGCCTTTCCCCTATGTACATCTCTACGTTTTGATTTGAGCCATTTCATCGAAATGATGAATTTCACTCATAAAATGAGAAGGAAAAGGCATGAGCACGTTTCCGATTACAGATGTGTTATTGAGCAGCGAAAAACGATCGCCAGCTGAAGATGCAACTCAACGTACGTCATGAGATCATTATTCAACTAAAGGTTAGATCTTCTGCTCTCTCCTCTTCGACAATCTTCCGCTTCATAAGAACTCGCCAACAATCAACACCATCGAATACACTTTTCCGACACCACATTCAGCTGATTCTAAACGATCAACTGCTCTCAAAACAGGAGAACGTACATTATAAGCAACAAAAAACGACATGAATTTGAGAATTGACCCGTGTGATTCTGTGCAATGACACTATTAGTAACAGTGGTCTCAGACGAGAATGCCAATGGTTGAAATGACTTAGTGAATGCTTGCTAGAATATCCTTCTGAAATGCCCTGCACAAAACAGATTCAATTCAGACCAATCAAAATATATCATGTGATAACCCGGAAGCGTCGTTCATGAAACAAAGATTTTATTGTATTGAGAAACAAAGATAATGAAGTGATTGTTGACTGGATAAAAGAAATTCAATAATTGCAATTTAAACACAATTTCATACGAAACGACGAAATTCATCCAATCAGTCAAAACTAAACTCAAAAACAAAGTATAATTTGTTATGAACGACGAATGAGTGAATGAGAATGCATTCAACGAATGACTCTACTCAATAACTTGCCATTTTAACAAATTAATATATCATATCATAATGTTGATTATGAATGCAGCAATAAATTATAATGAATCCAATCCGCTCGCTCACAACGATAGAGTATAACAATGAACATACTATTTGATGATGCACATGCAGATAACAAGAATATCATAAAATTACTCCATCTTGTGTAACACAATAGAATTTGCTCTCCTCACTTTCATTGGCATTGCGAAACAGTTTTTTGTTTAAAACGATCACCAATGACCAAAACCACATTCATTTTCATCACAAAGGTCACAATTACGCACATAAGAACAACAGCACTATCAGAACAACCCTTTACTATCCATCTCCAGTCTAATTCATTCTCATCTTTCAGCTTTCAAATATTTTTCTTCCTGATCATCTTTCCGGCCATATTTATTGAAGAGAACTTTTTGACGCCGGCATGTTGATGGTATCAGAACAGAATATACTCCGTTTGGAGAAACTCTTAAACAATTGTCTCCTGTGAGATCTGTACCCGTGCTAAACCATACCTATCCATTAATGTCGACGAGTTTCCATCGACTAATGTACATGCGAAGGGTTATTCCGATTGTCCAAAACAACCGGCTGCATCCTCAACAATACGTCGTAAAAGTGACTTACAATCGATCACAATAACGCTGTCAAAATATCGCTTTGGCCGTAAATATGTATTCATCGATATAAATGCGAAAAAGCAGTCATTGCTCAGTTCACAGTTTGAAAATCAAAACTGCGTTAATGTTCGTTCAATCAAATCTCGAATTTTCACTAATTCGACAAAATAACATCACAATTCGATAAATATCAAAACGATATTCTACTATAATAAAACAAAACAACGCACGGTCCAAAACAGACACACCAATTTTGATCGAATACGGAAGCGATCAATATAAATATTTGAAACTGTGTCAGCTGAAGAAACCAATCTATAAATGAAGATTCGCTTTTATGAGTGAGCTTTAATCCTAATCGCCGGGCACTTAGCGCCGAAACTACCAAGAAAAAACAACTTTTATGAGGCAGAAGAACGATTTAAAATAAATGTAGCTTTCAATGTTCCAAATGATGATGCAATAAGTAAATTTGGCCATAATCTCATAAGAACAAAGTACGAAAACTGCGCAGAAATCAAATAAATGTCTTTGAAGAAATTCACATCAAAACTGTTTCGGCTGACGCAGCAGGGCTGTGAGTTCCATTAAATTTTGCTAAGATATCATCAGAAAATTCATAAACTAAATTATCGAGTTGAATTCCCATTAACTGATAAATATATTCCTTACCGATATCACTGTCATTATGACTGTCAATTTCCATTCCGCACAAACGAACATTCTGTCAAGCGGCAGATTCAAACCAACACACACATACGTACACACAACAAAACGAACACATTTCAAAATGAAATCAATCAATCAATCAATCTCGAACCAATTCTTGTGAAATAATAAGTATAAAAACGGTTCAATACAATCTTCATCACAACAAAACAATCTACATCGCATACGGACTACCGCCCGGGTACATTGGGGCAGCGCCGTAGACGACAGCGCCCGGGGCCGGAGAATTGCCGTAAGAACCACCTGGGGCAGCGTAGACGCTTGGCATTTGCGGTGGAACGTTACCCATCGGTGCAGCACCACCAAAGGTTAGCATCAGCTGAGGTTCCACTGAAACAAATACGAATTCAGAATGAATTACTTTGAGATGATGAAGTCATCACTTTGCTCTCGAACATCATCACTTGACTGGTGTGTATCTCAAATGAATGATTGAGACGCATAAATTATTTGTGACCGCAAAAATACATACTCGAATAAAACAAAATAACTCCACAGAACGAATAAATGACAAAAATTCTGTGAAACATGACAAAAAACTCACTCATTCCTCCATTCGTTTGTTGTTTTTCACGTGTTTCCTCCTTTCGTTCAGCCTCGGCACGCTCCAATTTCTCGATCTTAATTCAAACCGTTTAATTTCTCATCTCATTCCACTGCACTCACCTACATTCAACTACCAGTAAACGTTCACAAATCACTCGCTTCTTCAATTTCAAATTTTTCGAATAAATCAACAACAAACAAAAGGCAACAAGACAGATCCATAACAATCGCTCACCCTTGTCTGATAGTCACGCATCACTTGAATAATATACGGCATAGCAAAGTCCATAATTTTATGTTTCCACGCCAGTTCCAGTATTACGTCTGGATGTAATAAGTCATACATTTGATACAAGGATGCAGCAAAACAATCGTAGAGTTTATTATCCAAAAAGAACGATAACAACTCTTCGGCTATTTCAGGTTGACGAGATTCGGCCGCATATTCCATCGCATCCTTCAAACGAATACAACATCAAGCTCATTNTTTTTTCTTCTGTTTTACTTTTCAATTTGATGTATTTGAACGATAAACTAATAAAGAACAATAGTTTTGCAATGCAATGAATCACTCACTGCTATTAAAAACAATAAGAAAAATGATATTACTGACAAGAGCAGTGCAAATCAAAGTTCAAAGTAAGTGCAACTAATCAGTGACAATAACGATATTAATTCATATTACTAACACAAGCAATGACAGTATAAACCGCAGTGGAACACTGTCAATGAAGAAAACATCAACAAAAACAAACAACAATACCTTATAGAGTTTATCCTTTTTGCATAACTCAACACTTTGCTTCCAACGATTATTTCCCTTGAACAAGTATGCGGATATTCTTCTGAACTCCAGTAATTCGTGCTTTTCGAGTTGTTGTGCCAACGCGATATTGTCGAAGTTGTCGTATGCATCGATTGATGCTTTCAGGCCGGCGTAATCTTCTTCTTCGATCAACATTTGATTCAACGCTTCATTCAGTGATTTGTTGTTTTGGGTTTGAACTTGTCGCAGATACGGTTTCACTAATGGAAGTTGGTTCACTGAAACTTTTGCATTTTGTACACGCCGACTGCTGAACAGAGGATGTGAATCACATTCGAACTGATCATAAGAACAATAATTTCAATTATGAAAATCATGGCAATAATAAAAATGATGAAGACATTAATCAATCATAACAACAACAATGTTAAAACATCAATCGAATGATCAACAAAAAACGAACATTTCGTAAAGAATGAAACTGTGCGCGAATGATCAAGTCTTGGTGTAAGCACAATGAGCAAGTCATTCAGCAGCAATGGCTTATAGTCCAGATAGAATTGCATCGCTTTATAATACAATTCTATGTTCGCTACCTGAATTCAAAATCACTCAGTGATCAAATCACAGAAATCAC